TTAAAAAAAAAAAAAAAAAAAAATTACTTGCAATCGTATCCCAATTTTTTTTTTTTTTAAAAGTATAAAATGAATTCCAAATAAATAATTAAAAAATTTTAACTAAAAATGGGGGTGGTAGGAGAAAAATAGATGGGAGAGGTGGGTGGGAAGGTGATTTTTTTATCCAAATAACTAATTAAAAAATTAAAATTAAAAATGGGGGTGGTAGGGGGAAGATAGATGAGTTACTTGGGTGGGAAAGAGACTCTTTTTTTTTTTCTAAATTTTTTATTTTGATTTTTTATTTAGGACTCATTTGTACTTTTTTGAAAAATTTAAAATTACGAGGGCTATTAATTCTTTATTTATTTATTTTTATTCTATTTGAAAAGGAGGATATTCATTATTTCACAATGTTTTACTAATAATAATAATAATAATAATAATAATAATAAGTTTTGTATTTAGCAAAATTTGGACTGGGATATTCCTTCAAAATGAAAGGAAATTGGGTATTCTGCAAATGGAGGGAAATGTCAGGGTTTTTTTTTGCACCAGTTACTCTAAAATTGAATGTACATTTATTTCCTTTACATTTGCAAGAATTTATCAATCAATGCCTTTCATTAAAAAAAAAAAAAAAAAGTATTTCAAATTATAAAAATAAAACATTTTCTATGTTCTACCAAAGCCTGATTAATTGCAAAAACAAGTGTTTAAACAACAAGAATAGATTTGTTCTATTGATGAAGTCATCGAGTCGATAAAGAAATGAGAAAGACAGAGTAAATTTTGGAATTTGAATACTTTGTGTCTTTGTCAAAACGAGATTAAGTAGGTTTGAATTTGGAGCCAAAATTTGGATTGCATTTTTTTTTACATGGACTGCGTTTTTTTTTAATAAACTACATATAAAAATAAACAAAAGATTAGTTTAAAATTGAATTTGAGCTGGAACTAAATCAGGATATATACCGATCCAGTCCTCCTCTATATTTGTCCATGGTTTTTTTTCCATTATTTACATGAATTTTTGTCATTATTTAGTTAAAACGGAGTCAAAAATCTCTTTTTCTATTGTTTTGAGAGAATAGGTGTGTATTCACTGGCGGATCCAGGCACGGGCTCGACCGTGCTATAATCCGTGTCTGCCCATGAAATTGTCTACTTTTTTTTTTTTTTTATAGAAATAAATCCGTGTATATTTATATTGTAGTCCGTATCCAAACTCAAGGCTGGATCCAGTGTATCATACGGAAATGTGATGAAATTTTATGGTAGGACTAAAGTTATAAAATCAACAAATGATAATCTTTTTCGTCGTTATAGAATAAAATGAGAATGCTTATTTAAACAAGTTTGACATAGGGCTAAGCCTAAAATTAGGAACCACGTTACTCAAATTGTGTTAGCACCACCAAAAGCCTTCAATAGAGATTGACCTAATTACAGACGAGTCAATCCGCAACACTACTTGTATTAAATCAGGTCATGTTTAAAGTAAATGTTGGTTTGTCGATTTCTATTTAATTTAGCTAAAAATGTTGATAAAAATTTAAGTCAAAATTTAATAAATAATTATAATTATACATTTTATGGATTCGTTTATCTACTTTAACTCGTACATTTTATTAAACTAGCAGTAAGTACGTGATTTGCATGTCTCATGTATCGGCCGAATTATATACGTACTATTGTCTATTTTTTAAAAGTTGTAAAGATAATTGATATTATTAAAGAAAAAAGTATAATTATTAAATATAATGAATATATCATATATGAATAAAACTTTTTATGGAAATGTGTATATAATGTCAAAATATTGAATAAAATGAAATATAATCTTTTAATTACAATAACATTTCTTCGAATACAATATTTTTTTATCAACGTCTCATGACTTTTCATTCTTTTATTTGAAATTTACATAAACACAAATATGTAAATCATATGAAAATATTCACACATGTACAAATTATTGGAACACAAACACAATTAATCTACTATTATATTAATGCATACCTTTATACTGTAGTATTTTTTGATGAATATGTATTATGTATATTTAGCTTCAATTTTAAGTAATTAAACTTAAATTGATTTATGTAAAGTACTCTAATGTAAAGTAATGAAATTTATATTTTAAAGGAGATAAAATGAAGTAGAGTTATATTAAAATTTTTGACTTATAATATATTCGATAATTAGTAACGATTATTATACATTTAAAATTAAAAGCACGATTGTCTAAAATAAAATATAAAAGGCAGAAATGGAAATTAAAAGTTTTCCACACCAGAGTTTCAAGTATTAACATTATCGTTTTAATACTATATATATAATGTTAACATTTGAAGCATTTCTATTTTATATCATGGACATAAATTTTAGATTTTTATAAATGAATATAAATAATGTAAACCAATAATGTTCTTAATCATGTTTATGTTGAGGATTTAAAATTTCAATAGTTATTATTCAAATAATTAGTTACTTACCATTCAATTTTGATGAACAAAAAATATACCATTATCTATTTCTTCAAGGGTAATGAATGTGAATTTATTTATGTGATTATTCGATTTCTTTAAAAATTGTTGACCTCGATTTTCCCTTGTGGTTGTATGATTTTCACTCTCATTGCAAGTACTTTTAGTTTTTTCTTATTTCAAAGAAGGTAAATCAAGACAAGAACACGTGTTCAATAATAATTAATAAATATTATTACATACTATTGTTTTCTGAAAAAAAAAATTATTTAAATAATTTCTTTTGATTGTATGTGATAATATTTTTGTTAAATAACTATTAATAATTGTGTCTAATGGAAATTAATTGACTTAATTTTCGAAAGCAATAATAATTATTAATTATCTTAGTTAGAGGAAATAAATTGAATCATTTGGTATTCTGTAGTTAATAATATATGTAATATTATTATTTAGTTGACTTAATTTTCAAAAGCAATAATAATTATTAATTATCTTATTTAGGGGAATAAATTGAATCATTTGGTATTTCATTTTTATCTAAACTTAGGTATTCGCATTATTAATTGTCAATCAAAACAAATTTTAAATAAGGGTAAATAATAAATATAGCATATTAATGTAACCTTTCATTTATTTATTTTTTAATTTTCTTTTTGTAAACCAAATGAGGGTATATTGGATATATAGGTAAATGTGTAATGGTATAATTGGTATTCAAAAGTTTTTCCTCAATCCACACTTTATATATATATATATATATATATATATATATATATATATATATAGTTAGATTTTATCAAAATTTATTAAAAAATTATTTTAATCAAAGGGGGGTTGAATAAGTTGTCAGCCATATGGGCTGTACTTGGCTATGGTCGGCTGTGGATTCTTCTCCTAACTTTCGTTTATTCAACATTGTATTATAAGAAAGAAGAGGAAATTGTCGCATATCTGTAAAAGCTACGTGCACTTATTTTCTTAGTAGAATTGGGCGCACACTTTCGGTTACATTACATCACCCCCATCACTAACTTGTAGATACATAAATTATTCTAATACAAGATTGACTCTGTCTTCTATTTTCTTGATTTGAGTCTTCTCATTCTGTTCTTGTAACTATTACTGTTTCATTTGGTGAAAGTGCTTCTTTAGGGAATGCCCAACTGTTTTCTTGGATTCTTCAGATTACCAGGTTTTATTCTGCTTCCTTTTTGGTATTTGTTTCCTTAATTTTAATTCTTTTGAAAAATCGTATGTTGCATCACATGTATATTTCTATTTCCAAGTTATATACATTACGATTGATCTCTTTTACGATTGATTTTCAGAGATCGCGGGTTTGGATCTTCTATTTTTCAAATCATTTAATTAATTTGTTTATTTGGCTGTAATATTTATCAAGGTTCTTCGACTTTTCATGAAGTCGATTCCAAGTTTCTCTCATTCAGGCATATTCAAATATTTGTTTCGTTTTTGCCTCTCTTAAGGGGTTTATGATAGGAATATGCTACTTATACATAATGCGGTGTCTATAACGGTGTAATTTATTCGAAGTGGTCCCCTCCACGTGAGGGGATGGACACATCCTCTGATGTACTTGTAGCATTACCCTTTTATGATAAGGCCTTATGTACGAGTCTCTGAATATCATCATGAATGCATAGTTTGATTGAGCTGTGAATTTTTTAGTTCATACATAAATATGTGTATAGTGAAAATCTTATTGAAGTTGCAGTGGCTTATTTCTGATTTAGTTGATCCGGTCTTTATGAATTTCTTTACGTTTACAGCATTAGATTACACCGTGGACCGTCTTGTATTTTGGGAATATTGAGTTACTGTTCCATTGAGGTGTTGTAGAGTTTTCTTCGTGTTACGTAACAACTGGTCAATGGATTCAAGGGGTACTCCAACCGCTGAATTTCAGCAGAAAGTTTACCCTAGTATTGTCACAGCTCTAGTTGGAGCAGTTCATGAATGGTTGCTGATTTTTATGCTTTTTATCGATGCTGGTTTCTCATACTTAATTACAAGGTTTGCTCGTTATAGCCACTTGCAAATTCCGTGTTTGCTCTGCTCTAGACTTGATCATGTTCTTGGCAATGAGAGAGTAGGTTTTTATTGGGATCTGATATGCCACAAGCACAAGTTAAAGATTTCATCTTTAGTTCTTTGTCATCATCAAGACAATCTCGTTGATGTTCATGAAACATGTGAAAGTTGCTTTTTCTCATTTGCCACAATAAACAAGTCAAATGCTGAAACGTACAGAATATTGGTCAGCAAATTGGGAGCTGAGCCTCATTCTGGGCTTGATCAAGGTTCTTTATCTTGGGAACATAATCTCGGTTCGTCTGACAGGAGAGAGTGTTCTTGTTGCAATGAGAAATGGATATCTACAAGTTATGCTGATAATTTAATTCAACCTAAATCAATCAACACTGAGGAAGCTGAGCTTCATGCACCTTTATCTGAAGCATCTGCACCTAATAGGGATGAGTTGAAGGATATTAAAGATGCAACATCTAACTTCCACCATTCGGGGAAAAAAGATGCTGATCCTTTGTCACATGTAGCATATTCAAAAATCAATGGTACTTCTGACAGTGAATCAGAAACTCCACTTTCTGATGACGAAAGTGCTTGTGCACTTATTCGTGAAATGGAGTCACCAGATATAGATTTAGCTGCAAAGTATGGACAACCAGAACGTATGGTTATTGCTCATGCTGATCCTCTGTCACATGTGGAATATGTAAAGATCAATGTTACTTCAGATATTGAATCAGAAACTCCATTTTCTGATGATGAAAGTGCTTGTGCACTTATTCGTAAAATGGAGTCATGGGACAAAGATATAGCTGCTGAGTATGTACAACCAGAACCTTCAATCATTTCTCTTGCTAACAATGTAGTTCTAGAGAAATTGATACATCCAGCTTCTTCAACCAAGCTTCCACTTTCTGAGTCAGAGGTACAACTGGGCTCTAATAATTCCTGCTGCAATGCAAGATCTGACTCACCCATTAAACATCATGGGTTGGAGGAACTTATTTGGCTACAAGCTAACCGCAAAAATGATGATTCCTTATTATCTGAGCTCATAAATTTTGACGAGGTACTTCAGCAGCCCAAGGTTTCTGGGACTCAAAGTTATGAATCAAACGAAATTGGTGAGTTTTGCATTTTTCGTGTCTCTATATTTTTGTTCTTCTTTATTGGATTTGCTTACCTTTTCCAATACCAGCAATCATTAGGAGGACACAAATCTCTCTTGATCTGAAATACGTTTTTTTTTTTGTTCATCTTTTGTTCCTAAATTATTTACTTAAATAATTTGAGAAAAAAATTAAATCAAGATAAGTTTCAAAATTGGCTGATAGCCTGATATGCTATTGAAATGGCTTTACTCTTTTTTCTGCTTTCTTCTTTTAAAGAAGAACGAAGATGATTCTGAAAATATGATGTGGCAGTTGTATCTGACCATCTTGCCTACCCTATTATCTTCTTTGCTTTCTTGCTGTAGATGCCAAAGCCATGGCTGAATTGGAGAGAGAAGTTACCTTTGAGGGTGGAGAAACTTCTAGTTTGAAAGTGAAACCACTTCAGCAAATGACGACTAATTCTTTGGATCTTAATGATGCTTATAATTTAGCTGTTGGCAATGTTGGAAGACAGTTGTCTGGAAGACTCTTAGAACAACAGAGGTCTATGAAGGACTCTGAGAGAGCCAGTGAAGATGTGAAGCACTTGCTGTCACAAATATCTTCTCGTGGAATTGATCCATCATTAAACGATATGAGCTCTAGGGTGTCTGCAAATAGCGATGAGTTTAGAAATTTTGATGCTTCTAACGCTATAGGGATGCAGATATTGCAAAGAAGGATTTCGCTTGAGAGAAATGAATCTAATATATCTCTTGAAGGAAGCACTATCAGTGAAATTGAAGGTGAAACTGTGATAGATCGATTAAGACGTCAGGCTGAGCATGATAAAAAAGTAATAGGTGCTCTATATAAAGAATTGGAGGAAGAGAGAAATGCTTCTGCAGTTGCTGCTAATCAAGCAATGGCGATGATTACTAGATTACAAGAAGAAAAGGCAGCTCTCTATATGGAGACATTGCAATGCCTAAGAATGACAGAAGAGCAAGCTGAGTATGAGGGCGAAGAACTGCAGAAAGCAAACGACCTGCTTGCAGAGAAGGAGAAGGAGATTCAAAATTTAGAAACTGAACTTGAACTGCACAAGAACAAACTTAGAGATATATCTTTGTCAGGTCACATTTTGATGCCAAGCCCTGAATCTGGTGCAGGTGAATTGAAGGGAACACAATTAGATTCAAACCATTTAGAATTTAATACCACTGCATTTCACAGTTCAAATGATGATAAATTTGATATTATCAATACAGTTGTTGAAGCTCTGAAGATGTTTGGGAATAAGGACGGTAAGACCTTTGTGGAAGTTGAAGATGAAAAACAATATGTCTTGCAATGTTTAAAACAATTACAAGAAAAGGATAATTTATTCTCGAAAAAAGAGGTCTGCTCCAAGATGACTGATGGAAACAATTCGGGAGAGGAAGAGAGCGATGTAAGTGCTTCCAAAGAACTTGATTACAGGCAGGCGTCTCAAGAAAATGGTGGAAAGTGAGAGAATCGTTTACAAAAGATACAATCAGGATCAATTTGCTTTTTCATTGAAATTCTGAGTATATTTTATGAAAGAAAACAGTGGATTCAAATATAATTAACACGTCATTCAAGATATGGGCGAGATGCTCTTACACATGAGGTTTCTGTTTTGAGAAAAACTTTAGAAAGGTAGAACCGAGTTTTCTTGAACATGCTGTTATCACTTGAGAAGGGTACCTTTTTGCCTGCTAGAAGTACATTCAATTCAAATCAGAAGAAGAAAACAACTTTCAATAAGAATTTCTATAACTGAGCTCCACCTGAAAAGGTAAAAAATTTACAAATTCATCTTATTTGTCGATCTTATTCATGTCTATTTTCCCTTCGTAATGGATTTGACTCATTGTCATTGTACATATAGACAGGATTGCAATTGAGTTATAAATTAGTCATTGGTTAGAAATTAATAAGGAAACTCTATTACGTCTTTTATTAGATCAGTCATGTATTTCGTGAGCCTAGTCCATGCCTTATTTTCAAATGCAGGAAGCCTTTCGTTTTAGTATGAAATATAAAGATATGTCATGAAAAGTTAAGCATACTGGATAATTGTTTTTCTGATTCAGATGAGTGAGAAAAGACAAAAAGAAGGGGGGATATTTAAAAAGAATCATCAAGTGGCTACAAGAATACTGAGTTCGAAATATTGTTAATAGTTGATAATATAAGCATCTCTGTACGGTATTAAAAAAATTTCAAGGTAAGAAGGGATGCAACCCGTTAGCTACAACGAACATGCAAATAATTCTTTAATGCCTATCGTATGTGAATTCATTACTAATGTGTTGTTTCTTCCAAAATGATGGATTAGTCTACTTTTGGTTATGATTTTGTTGAGTAATAGGGCACTGCAATGTGAGATATGTTTTCTATACTACGTATGCTCAAGAACTTCTAATATCTACAAGAAATGCTCGATTTCCTTAAAAAATTTCTCATATTATTGCAGAACGAATTAAAGCTTTGTTAATATGTTTTCAGATGCCTTCTTGTGGTAGAAGATGATTCAACTTTCTGGAATGCCAGATGAAGGTAACTGTGATGATGTACAGCTGGTTATAGAAATTCTAAATCAATTGTGAAGTAAACCACTTCTTTACCCTTTTGTTTTTCTATTTCTATATATAGGAGTTAAATTGAGCCTGTGTGATTAATTCTATTTGTCTATGTTTAATTTTGGTTTGCATAAAGAAAAGGACATTTAATGTTTAATGCTAGGGGTGAGCGCGGGTCGGTTCGGTTCGGTTCTCTTTAGAACCGAACCAAACTTTTCGGGTCTCTAGTAAATGGAACCGTCGGGTCCAAATATAATTATGGAACCGTTCGGGTTCGGTTCCATTCGGTTCGGTTCGGATCGGTTCGGTTCCGTTCGGTTCTGTACTATAATTAAATTTTTTAACATTTATAACAACGTTATATAAATACGACTAATGATACATTCAATAGTTTTGGAATGTCAGAGATTAGTAAACTATTTTGTTCAAATAATCGCTACGATCAAAGTTTCAGTCGGGGAAAGTCACGGCTTCGATCGGAGGTCAGAGTGTCGGCCGACGATTGTATAGGTTTTGGAATATTAGATAGGCTGCGAGAGTCGAGACAACGTTATGCACTTTATTGTAGGTGTTTAGGATTATTTAGTATATTTGATCTTGTTTGGCTAAGAAATGAAATAATAAAATGAGTAATTGGGCCAAAAATTAAAAAATTAGAAATGAAACAAATTATTGGGCCAAAAATTTGGATTTAGAAATCATTAATTTGTTAATTTGTTTAGAAAAAATTAAAATTAAAATAATTTGATTTAATCAATATAAAAAAAAAAAGAAAGATTCGGTTCTTATTCGGTTCTTCGGTTCTTGGTCTAGAACCGAGAACCGAACCGTACCCGTCGGTTCTCAATTCAGATACCCGTTCGGGTATTTAATTTGACAAGAACCGTCGGGTTCGGTTCGGGTTCGGTTCGGTCGGTTCGGTTCGGGAGATTTGCCCAGTCCTATTTAATGCTATATTGAACTCTGAAATATTTCGATTTCTAGTAAAGTTTTGTTTGGTAATAAGAAAAGTTCGTCTGTTTGGGTTTCTTCCTTAATCTCATTCAGTATTGTCGTACCAAACATGATAATAAATGGACCACCTTGTCATGTAAGAGAAACGCATGACGAAATTTGATGGGAAACCTTCTTTCACTCTTACAATTAGTAATGTCATAGCACAATTTGAATGGAATAAGTTGTTAGCTATTTTTTTGTTTTTAAACAGAAACAAAGAGAGAAATAGTAAGAATGGAAGCCAAAATAAATTAGAATACAAACAACAGGCCATCTATTGTAGATTCTACTGCTTGTTTTCAACTTTCCCATTTTCAGTTGCTTCTTGCACTGCTGCTGGTCTCTGATTCATCAGCGTCTCAAATTTCTCTCCCTTTTCCAGCACAATTTCAATCTGAACATGTTGCAAAAGCAAAAAAACCTGTTCATTTATTGTGTATTTATACACGAGAAGTTCAGCTATGCTCAAGAATAAGGGGTTCAACATAGTATCGCAAAACTCATAAAGTTCAGGTCGCCCACCCAATAATGAAAAATTCACGAGTTATAATAGAACTAGACTGCACATGAGGAGACAATGATGTGTTCATGTAATTATTTTATTTTCTAATAGTTCATACTTTTAAACGAGGTGATTTTACATGTCAAAGATGTAAAAATAAATAAATAAACTAAACCCATTTTTCATAGTTTAAAATTAAGTCTCACATCCTCGAAATCAAGCAAAATTTGTCAGGTTTTTAGTGAAAAAATAAAATAAAATAAAATTTCTTGTGCACGTAATGGTAATATTGGTGATATAAATGTACGTGAAATTGTTCCTATCAGATGAGGTAATTTAATGCTACATAAGAAATACAAGAGCATATAGGTACTGACCCTGGCTTTCTGAACTAGACGTCCTTTGGCTTCATCTTTCATTCTTACTGTGGATGTTAAAATCTCTGCTCCAATAATACCACAACAAAGATTAAAATTATATTAGGAAACTTGTCATTCTCCAAAACTGCAATTTTTGCTAATTTTATCTTTGTTAAGAGTACATACTCTTCGCATTGGCAAATCCACTATTTTTTAGAATCTCGGCTATTGTGACAACTGTGGTAATTGCTGTAATGATTTGTAACAGATGTCAGCTCAACCACTTATTTCTCATCAAAATAATGATAAATAGGTAAATTTAAGGTGCCAAATATATAAATATAAATAAATAAATTCATCTTCACTCTAATAGTCTTGTTTCAAATTTTACGAATAAAGATTAGAATATAGAAAAATGCAAGCGTGGGCAAAAACAGGAAAAATTAATAACTAGTTCAAGGATATTGTTACCCAAGCCCAAAGCAGAAAGCTCAATCTCAGTATTCTGTTGCAAGTACCTCTGCATCATAAAGAAAATATGTTTATATGTCGATTTTAACATTGTCCTAGCAATTATATTGATCAACTTAGTACGATACATACTCATGCTACGTTGCAAAAGCATAGAATAGGAGCATCCGTTGACAAAATTATCATGATAAGATGATCATTTTATGGTCGAAGAGGAGGAAGAAGAAGATACGCGGATCCAATCCCGAGAGAGTACCTACCTTAGCAAGATTGACATAGAAGAAGAGAGGTTTTTTGGTGTTAGACACTTGAATTTTGTTCTTCTTCAGATTTTCACGGTTTATTTGCTTCACTGCATCAGTTTCCATAGTCATTTTTCCCTTTCCAAATATGTAAAAAAATCCAACATTAATCTCTAAATTTTGCTGTTGGTTACTATATATCTATAGAGCACAAAATTAGGGGTAATGCTGTTGCATGCATGAGGAAAAATTTCGATGGAAAACCGAAATTAAAGCCCCTTTTGACCGAGTAAATATCATATCAGTATCAAAACTAGTGGCTATGCACATTTGTAGAGTAGCTTACAAATTTCCTTGGAAGGAATTTCATTTTACTTTGTGAACTACATTTTTCAGTTGTAACAGTATCTATCAGAATATAGGAGATTCTTGAAACTCTCTTATATGTTCGTCTTTGCTGTATCTTTTACAATTTTTCAGTTTGAATTTCTTTCAAGGTTGATGGATTCTGTATATTAACACTATCTATTAGAATATAGGAGATTCTTAAAACTCTCTTAGAGCATGTTCGTATTCGCTATATCTTTCACGATTACTTTCGAGTGTATAATTGTTGTAGAATCTTTTCTTTTAGAGCAACTCTTTTTGAACTATAAACTCATGAATTCACAATCAATTTTCTTTTCTTTTGTGTGTGTGTTATTATTTTGGTATCAGAGCAATTCTTGTCGTATTCGGTAAGTGGCATCATTTTTAACAAATCAATCTCAGGTAAATTATCTTCATCATTTTTCTCTTATTTAGATTTTAATTTCTTGACCCGCATGGGAACTTGTTGACTTACCTTCAAACAAATTTATCGGGATGCAAATTTGAAAATGAGTTCATAAACTCAAAATTCATTCAAGATTAATACGGTGTTGAGTATTGATTATGTAGAGACATTTGCTCTGATTGCTAGTCTCTTTTGTTAGAAGTTTCATAGTTGATGCTGCAACTAAACAAAATTCGTCGACTCCATTCTTGAGCAATTTTCTTCATCATCAATGCGTCGTTTAATTGATTACAATTTTTCTCCAAAAGCTTCATCGCCACACCCTCATTTTCCCTTGGGGGTACATTTATTCCATTTTTCTGTGACCTATTAAACTGGATCAGAATTTAAGTAATGAAATATATTATTTGTACATAATGCGGTGTCCATAACAATGTCCACCCCTCTCATATGGAGGGGACCAACTTTGGATAAATTATATTTTATTGAAAGTGGTCTCCCTTCATGTGAAGGGGTGAACACCATTATAAATACTTTGATGTACATATAGCATTACCCGTAAGTAATTTTCTGATCCAATTTGATTGGAAAGCTTGATAGCGATTGGACAAGTAGGGGTTCTATGGCTGTAAGGCATGGTTGCTCGAATCCGATATTTTCTTTTCTGAAGAAACTTCTGTAGAGATTTCTTCAACGAGAGGCCTAGACTACTAGTAGTGGGATGCAACTGAAATTGCAGATATGGTGATCCGACACCCACACTAATATTTCTTGACTTGTTTGATTTTTCTTCCATTTCCATTCTTGCAAGCCAAATGATAGCAATAACCTGCAGAAGCATTACATAAAACTATCCAATCAATATTAATCTATTAGTTAGCCATTATAATTTATATTCACCAGGTTTTCTACGAATTTTCTTCGGTTGTTTCTCATCCATATATGATTCAATATTATTAGTATAGTATAATTTTAAAAATAAATAAAAATCAATATATTTAAATTTAATTATAAAATTTTCATATAAGATTTCATGAGATTTTATAATTTAATAAAAAATAGATATTTTTCACCAAAAAAATGAATAAAAAAAAAGTTACAAGAATCCAATTTAATTTTTTTTTATAGAAAATATAGATAAATAATAAGAAAGAAAGAAAGATAAATGGAATATAATCAATAGAAAATAAATAAATTTTAATCATATATGTCCACAGAAGGTTAAAGGAAAGAATGATTGAAAAAAAAAAAATTTGTGTAAGTCTCACAAAATCTCGTAATTAATGAGAGACAAATTTTGAAATTTTATATAAGCACTTTCTGGTTAAAGTTAGTACTCCATAAACTTTTGTAAAAATCTTCAAAAGTCATTAAAATTTAAATACCTCAAAACTTACAGACTTCTAAAAAATTTTAATTGAATACACCGTAATTTTTAAAAACTTTTTAAAAGTCTATAAAAGTCTCAATTAAATAAATCATAACTTTTAGAAAGTCTCAAAAAGTCTTAATTGAATACCCCTAAATTTTTTAAATACCCAAAAGTTATTAAAAAATTCAATTGAATACACTCCCAAGATTATCATGAAGAGGAAGTCGAAAAAGATAAGGAATAACCCCCTTTGTCTAACAAAGATAAATTAGGTTCTCTTCACTCGAGTATTTCTCTTCTTGACCTTTCAAATTTCCTTCATGATAAATTTACATTTTATCTACTACTATTTATTAAATGACAGTGAAGACACGTTTTGCTCTCAATATCTCTCCTCAATTAATTTTTTAGCCTGCAGATTACATTATTAACATTTTTTCATTCACAAGTTTTTAGGCCCTCGTTTTGTACATATTTATTGAAATTTATTTTTTCTCAAATTCATTTTAATCACACATTCTCTCAATAAAATAATTTTGCACATTGACTCATATTTTTTTATTTACTTTTTAACCATACATTCTTAAAAAATATATATCAAACATGCCTTAAATAAAATTATATCTTGAACAATATTTGTATTTGTTTACTCTTCTGTTTTATTAAGCTTTCTTGCAAATAAGAGATAAACAAAAATCAATTTAGCTAAGATAAAATTTTACATTTTCAATTTTATAATGTTGATATTTTTATATTACAATGTTGAGAATAAATTTCCATTTTCAATTTTACAATGGTGAGAAAAAATTGAAACGATCTTATTGGTACTTTTAATACTTTATTAACTTATTAAAGTAAATTTCTTATGTAAGCTGGAAATCAAGGAAAACGAATATATTGAATTTTGTTAAGAAAAAATATTTTATGCAGAGCCACCCTAAGGCCAAGCGACCAAGGCAAACTCCTAGGGCTTCAAATTTTGGATGGTCTCCAAACAGTGGCAGAAAATATGGTGAATGGTGAAGAAGGCAGGAAGGTTTCTGGCTTTCTGTCGATTTTCTCCCTAACAACTAACAAATAGCAGCAGAGCTAGCACCATTATTGTAGCCAGGAGAAGATCATTGCTTCTGGAATTGCCGACTATTGCAGCCAATATAGGAGTGCATTTAGGGATGTAAACGAGCCGGGTCGAGCCGGCTCGCGAGCCTAAAGTTTTAGCTCGGGCTCGGTCCGGTTAAAATGGCCGAGCTTTTTTGCGGGCTCGAGCCGAGCCGAGCAAAAAAAAGGCTCGACCCGAGCTTTTGCTCGGGCTTTTTACGGGCCGATTTTTTTTTCTTTCTTTCTAATCTGCTGCCTTAAAAGGCAGCAGATTTGTTGCCTTTAAACTGCCTTTTTTTTTTAATTAAAAAGCTCGCGAGCTCACGGGCCGGCTCGAGCAAAGCCCGTGCCTCCAAAATGGGGCTTAGCCCGAGCCGACGAGTCCGATTGCCATCCCTAAGTGCATTTGTATTTTGTATGTCTGTATAAGATACAAAAAGAAGAAAGAAAAAGAAGTTAGAGAGAGAGAAGTGGGAAACCTTGCCAAATCAATTTTCTCAATTTGTCAGATAGATTCTCATGTGCTTAGGACTTAGGAGCTCTTACCAATGCCATATTTACTAACATAGGACGCCAATTAGTACGAGTAGAGTGAAAGGGGGTTGGGTGGGGGAGTTTTAGGTGTTGGTTTGCACTTTGCCAAGTGGATGGGGCCTTGTGATACATGTCGCCTAGGGCCTCGAATTTTTCAGGGCCGGCTCTAATTTTATGAACCTCGTGGCTTCGAGTAATTAAAATTTAGGAAAATGATATTATAATTAAATAAATTGTTACATTACATTATGTAATGTAGAATTATTAAATTTTATGGTTATTTTTTTGTCCATTTAGCTATTTGCGGTAACCTTTTAGTACATCTTTTTTTTTTTTTTTTTTTTTTTTTTTTTTTTTTTTTTTTTTTTAAACCAAATGCTGTGTTTTGCTACACTTTTAATAAAACCAGTCTTTGCCCGTGCAATGTACAAACTGTGATATTTTGAAAGTAATATCAGTGTATTAAATATATTGAATTATGGTGAATTACTTACTCAACTCAATGTTTGTTATGACTATACTGTGATAGTCTTTTCCTTGTTTAGCATGCATAAAGTCCTATTAAGTTATATCATTTTAGACCATGTAAGCAAAAAGTTTCTAGCAAGTAAGCCTTAATAGAAAGAGAGTGATATTTGAAAACTAAAAGTTCCTTTCTTTCACAAATATTCGTAACCCTATCATAATTTTTCCCGACATTGTGGTATCAAAACTAGTATATATGCTCCAAATATTTATCCTTTTACTTGTTTTTAAGTATTGCATGGGAATGCATCACAAACAAGCCAGATTAACATGCCGATGTTAAACACATTGAAATAACTTCAAAAATTGATAGTTTTGATCTTTTATGAAATGAGTATGTTGCAGAACAGAATCGAAAATTACCACATGATCCACTAGCACATCTAATGACTTCAGCTCATTCACATTTGAGGCCACTACTTCTACCATATTGATTGGATCTTTGATGTCTTCAACACTCAACTTGGCCTTTTCCTCTTGATCATTTGTAATCTCTAAAACTCGGCCGCATCTCCTCTTATTCAAAGTTACTCCAAACATCTCCACTCGAATACTGGAAAACCAACAAGAAATTATTTTAAAATTAGCTCGAGACTTGTCCTTCTCCTCACGAGTCAACTCTAAACTGAATATCATGTTGCCTATCACCTTTAGTGTCAACTGGAAAAGTTCTTATATGTTGAGAAATAGCTGTAAAGAAAACTACTGTTCTGGGATGAATTACAAATTGATTTTACCTCTGGGATTCTAATATTGTATATAATTTTGTCTCTATTTCACATCGAGGTCCCTTACTGTTGACACATAAAAATTCAGCCCAAATCGAACAGCCCAAGGAGTAAAGCCCAATTGAAGGATCCTCAAATCAGATAGCTCAAAGAACGAAGTCCAATTAAACAAATCAAAATGAAGGCCCAAATAGGGAGGCCCAAGAACGCGGTAACGCCATTGCCCAAGTTTGCAAGTCGCCCAGAATCTGAGCGAATGGAGTGTCATACAGTCGCCCAGAGCTGTTACTCTATT